CCAAGTCCTTGGCAGAGATAGACAGATAGACAGATAGCTGTCATCAAGTCAACTCTGACTCAAGGTGGCCTTATGCACAACAGAACAAAACACTGCCTGGTCCTGCATCATTCTCATGATTGCCAGCATATTCGAGTCTGTCATTGCAGCTATTGTGCCAATCTCCCTCGCCCTTACTGGCCCTCTACTTCACCAAACGTGATGTCCTCCTCCAGAGTTTGATCTCTCCTGATGACACGTCCAAAGCAAATGAGTTGGACAATGTTTGGTTGTAATACATAAGTTTTCCATTGGCTAATTTTCAGAAGTAGAAAGAAGGCCTTTCTTTCTAGTCTATCTTAGTCTGAAAGCTCTGCTAAAACCTGTCCACCATGGTTGACGCTGTTTCTATTTGAAATACCAATGGCATATCTTCCAGCATCATAGCAACAGTCAAGCCACCACAGTACGACAAACTGACAGATGGGTGATGGTTGGCAGCTACAATCATAATCATGAAGATGTTTTTAATAAAGTGGGGAAATGCTTACAACACGATGCTAATTGAAAAAGAGGACTTAGAATCACCCTATGAGGTTAGGTGAAAAAGGATACAAAATTGTTCCAGAATACAGCATGCAGAGATGGAAGAAACAGGGAAGGAAGGGGGTGAGGGAAGGAAGGTGGTCAGAGAGGCCTCCAGAGGCAGTGCAGCAGGGGCCTGGCACTGGGTGCAGTGGGGGGAATAGCCTAGACCCTGTCCTGCCTGGGCTACTGTTTTGTCAGGGCCTTGGCTGGCTTCCCTCGACCTCCTGGGGGCTCTGGATGGCTCTGAATGTGGAGCCGGTGGAGTCAGAGACCACTGTCCAGTGTGGTCCGTGAAGTGGCAAGAGGTCTACAGGACCCAGGGGCTCTGTCACCTAGAGTCTCCCACTATCCCCTACTCTGGGGGAGTTAAAACCTAGTGCCCTCTGATTTTGACAGCCAGTGGCTCTACTCTGAGGGACAGAACTGAGGTCAGATGAGCTACGATGGCTGACGGAATCAGGGGGGTGGTCTCAGGAACCCGACCAGAGCTTAGAGGGACCCAGAATTGGCATCAGCCTCCCCTGCAACCTCACAGTCTCCACTGAGGAAAGCTTCATTACCAATGAGGAAACAGAGGCACAGTCAGCTCATCTTAACCACAAAAAATAATAACAATGCCAACAATGGCCGAGACTGGACCGCGCCCCCTCTCAGTGCTCCGCCCCCTCCCTCGAAGGGTGGCTGAGGCACCCAGCCCAGGGCCTGGTGAGGGCTGGAGGGACCGCTTGGCCACTCTTGAATCCACAGGAGCATGGGCTTACGCCAAGAAACGGCACAGCGGTGCTCTGTGCTCAGGCCTCCAAAAACATTTGTTAAATTGGAAGAAAATGTCTAACTCTTTCAAAGCCTAAGATAAAAGGAACGTTGTTTTTCACTTGCCCTGAAATGAAATCTAGGAACTTCCCATACCTCAAGCCCCAGGAACCTGGAGCCTAAATTTAGATTGTCCTTGGGGGGGTCACCGGATCACCCTGGGGCAGGGTCAGCCAGCAGCTGCTCAAGATAAACGTTGCTTTTCTGCCGACTCAGCCCTTCTCTCACACAATTAATGAGAGCCCGGCCCACTTCCCTTGGGAATGCAGAACAATAGCTGTAGATGAGCAGGTGGCCTTGGCCAGGCTCTGGCCTGAGAGCCCATCGCCTGAGACCAGGACTTCATGCCCCTGCCCCATGCCAGTCCCCCTGACCGTGGCCTGCAGGCCCTGGCGGCCATGGTGCTCCAGCCATTGACCTCCTTCTGCCGCTTGGAAGCCAAGCCCATCCCCACCTCTGGGGTCTTGCACTGGCTGTTCCTTCTGTTCTGCCTGGAAACTGGATCTTTGCTGATATTCTCCCTCCACAGAGAGGTCTTTCCTGACCCTTCTAGACAGAGTATCGCATCAGTCCCCATCACACTCCTGAACTGATCTTGCTGAGTCATTGATTGGCTCATTGTCAGTTGCTTATCGGGAGCAACTTCCTGGGATGGGTCCTCTGCTCAGAGAAAGTGTTTCTTGGCACACAGTAGGTGGTCAGGAACTCCTTCACCAGTGGAAAGAAGGCAGTGGGTCCTCATGCCCCTCCTGGGTCTGGGCTGGGTCACACTGAGGCCACCTCGATCTGGGCTGGGTTTGTGGGGGCTGTTCCAGGCACTGGTTCCACTGGCTGGGGCTTCACTTGATGCAGTGGCCAGGCCCTGAGGACACTCCAGGAGTGTCTCGGGTGGAGATCAGATTGTGATAGGTGGAGGCTAAGGCTTCTCCACCAGGCCCACAAGAAGCTGTCCCCAAAAAGCCATGGGCTTACTGGGGCCGCTGTGGAGGGCCAGGCTGCGGAGGGCCCCGGACCAGAGTGGTGGAGAGAGGGAGGGCAGGTGGGCAGGCTGCAGCCCCTCAGCTAGCTGGAGGGGGTGCAGGTGGCCAGAGGTCAGCGTGGCTTATGCAGCTCCCCACAGGCAAGCCTCCTGCCCGGGACAGGTGCAGGGGATGGCTGCCGTGCTGTGATTCATTCTATGGAGTTGTCCTGGATACTTGTGGGGAAACCGACAAGCAAATGAACAATTCCAGCTCAGGTCCCTGGGAGCACCGCTGGGGGATGGGGCAGAAGGCATCCTGCAGGAAGTGACCTCAGCAATGAAACATACCGGATGAGCAGCACCCGACTGAGGGGCAGTGCTGCAGGCAGAGGGGGCTGTGGATGGGCGAGGGAGACCAGTCTGAGGGCCTAAGGGAGGATAGAGTGTGTGTGGGCTCGTGGGTCCCACAGGGCCTGATCCCACCAGGCTAGCCAGTCTCAACATACACAGAGTGCACCATCCTGGTCTGCTCCCACTTTGTCCATGGGCAGGGACGGATTACCCAATAGGCAAGGTAAGCACGTGCTTAGGGCATCAACAAAACAGAGGCACCAGTTGACCAAAGCAAAGATCCATAGATGCCAAGCAGACAGAACACAAGGAAAAGTGAGCGCACAACAATGATTCAAGAAAGACTCAGTTAATTATCCTTATTAAGTATGGAAGTAGATACTGTTTGGCAGCTTAACTGTGATGAAATCATCGAAGAATTTGTAAGAGCAAAGACTAGAAAGAAATGTTTTTAATTATAACATGTTAGAAATGAAAGATTATCTAAAAATATTTTTTTGTAATATTTGTTTTCTGATCATTAAATTTTCTTTTATGACATCTTTTCATTTGTTTATTTATAATTATAGTATTTATTATGAAACAAGCATTAAAACTGAATGAGTTGTTTAAAAAAATTGGTGAAAGTCAATTTTTCATTAGGGGTCATAAACAGAATTTTACATTGATTGTTGAAACATTTTCTTTGTTGTAGAATATACATAATATTCTTTTTGTAGAAAATGTGGTATATAGTGAAAATCTTGGTACCACGCATCCACTAAAAATTTTATAATCTAGTTCATCTCATTCTGCTAAAATGGCATACACCACTTTTTTGTTCAATTGCTAATATTATAGTCACAATTAAAAAGAAGTTACATCGTGGATAGCTAAGCTGCACACACACACATACATCTATATATACATGTATATATACAACTCACATATCCTGTACAAATGCGTGAGTAAGCAAAGGAGGCGGCACCACAGATTATCAGTGCGTAGGGCTCTCACATGCCTTATCCGGCCCTGTCCTTGGGCAGCGGGAGCCACTGACGGCTTTTAGCAGGGTATGGCCCTAGAAAGAGGCCTGCCAGGAGGATGGCCCAGCAGCCCTGAGGAGAATAGCCCAAGCAAGTAACAGCGAAGGCCAGAGGGCCTGAGGAGGCCACAGCAGTTGTCCTAGGGAGATGGTGGAGGGCAGGGGTAGCAGTGACCCTGAGCCAGGTTCCTGGATTCGAGGGAGGAAGGTCTGCAGAGAAAAGGGGAGTGGTCATTGGGTCTGCGGCAGGTGGAAAGCAGCCAGAGGTGGTGTCTGGGAGGAGGCAGTGGTTCTCTGAGCTCTATCCTGATGGGGGAGGCTGGGTGAGGGGAAGGAGGAAGAGCAGAGGGCTCCCCTCACACTGCAGTCAGCACCCACAGAGTCCAGCAAACTTGTCTTCAGCACCTCCTCATGCTGGATGAGCTGGGCACTGGCCTTAGCACATTTAACGCCTCAGAGCAATCTGAGGAGAAGGAACCCAGGTCCAAGAGGGAGAGATTTGTCTGTGCTCCACATCTGTAGCTCACCCCAACACCATGCCTTCTCCACGGAGGGCCCTACCAGGAGAGCTGAGCACTTTGGACCAGATAAAAAAGCAAGTCCCAGCGGCCTCAGTGCCTGGGCTGGGAGTCCAGGCTTTGCTGGAAACAAAGGGACCGACAGGGAGTGGGGACAGGGCCACTGTGCCCGCATGGGTTGTGGGTGGTGGAGTTTGGTGCCCCCACCCGAGCCTCAGGGGGGCCCGAGAGTCCACCCTAGAGGACCTTTCGAGAAACTCCTGGGCCATTGTGCAGAAGAATGCCCGGAAATCCCGCGCCTCCTGCCTCCAGCGAGGATGGGGGCTCTTCCTCCCGGCCAGGAAACTCCAAGTTGGCTTCCGGAGGGCGGTCTGGGGACTGGGGCGCCAGGGGCACCACTGCAACTGGTGGGAGGATCTCTTGTGTCAGCTTAGGCCTCTGGGAGGACAGCCTGTGTTTTGGGTCATTGGGGGAATACTTGGACTTCCTGAAGTGCTGTCCCCTGAGTGGGGCCTCAAAAGACCGGGGATGGGCTCCATCACAGGAAGATGAGCAGCCAGCGCAAAAGTTCTGAGGTGTGGGAAGCCCCGCGAAGGGGCAGGGTAAGGGTCGCGACTGAGTGGAAAGGCTCCTGTGCCCACCCCACCCCCCTTGGTGCTAGGGCCTCAGGTCCCAGGGAGGCAGTGAGTCAGGGGGGTGGTGGCGCTTGGCAGGACCTCAGATGAGGAGGCTAGGACCCTGGGCCTGCCTGGCACCCCTGCCTGGCATGGCTTGGAGGGCAGTGCCAGGACCCTGGGAGCTGCCGGGCAGTGAGAGTGAGAAGGAGAAGCTGGGCCGCGGGATTGGACTCAGGGCGGGCTTCCTGGAGGAATACGCGGAGCTGTGCTGTCTAACCCAGGAGAAGGGGCCGAGCGAGCTCCCCATACAGGCCTCTGCGCGGACCGGCGCTGTGAGAGGGGGAGGCTTCTGCAGGTCTTGGCCCAGAGAAGAGGGGCCGGAGCGGAGCTGGCCAGGGTTATGGGGACCACTAGCCCCATTTCAGAGAGCCAGAAGCGGAAGCTTGGCTGGGGGCGGGCGTGGTGGCACAGGCTCAGGGTCGTGCAGTTCCTGAAGTGACACGGGACACGTAGGAAGGCGGCTCGCAGAGCGCGCGCGGCCGAGACTCGGACAGCGGAGGGGTGGAGGCCGGGGAAGCAGCAGCCGGCCTGGGAGTGGCTCCCGCGCCCCAACCACCCCCCTCCCGTGTGCACCGTTGTTTCCCCAACTCCGGGTGCCCGCGGCCTGTAATTGGCTGTGGAGCGACGGCCCCCGCTAGGATTGGCTGCTTGGGGCGGGGGGGCCGAGCCCCGAGGGCAAAGTCCGCCCCCGAGCCTTCAAACAAGCAGCCCCAGGCCGCGCCAGCAGACCAGAGGTAGTGCGGCTAAGCCGCTGACGCGAGCCAGACAGCTGGCGAAGAGTCGAGCGCGCGAGCGCAGAGGCACGGGGGCCGTCGGGCGCGCGTCTCTCCAGCCATGGGGTCGGCAGCGCTGGAGATCCTGGGCCTAGTGCTGTGCCTGTTGGGCTGGGTGGGCCTGATACTGGCGTGCGGGCTGCCCATGTGGCAGGTGACTGCCTTCCTGGACCACAATATCGTGACGGCGCAGACCACCTGGAAAGGGCTGTGGATGTCATGCGTGGTGCAGAGCACGGGGCACATGCAGTGTAAGGTGTACGACTCGGTGCTGGCGCTGAGCGCCGAGGTGCAGGCGGCGCGCGCGCTCACCGTGGGGGCCGTGCTGCTGGCGCTTGTCGCGCTCTTCGTGACCCTGGCGGGCGCGCAGTGCACCACCTGTGTGGCCCCGGGCCCGGCCAAGGCGCGCTTGGCCCTCAGCGGCGGCGCCATCTACGCGCTCTGTGGGCTGCTGGCGCTCGTGCCTCTTTGCTGGTTCGCCAATATCGTGGTGCGCGAGTTCTACGACCCGGCGGTGCCCATGTCCAAGAAATACGATCTGGGCGCGGCTCTGTACATCGGCTGGGCGGCCTCGGCGCTGCTAATGTGCGGTGGTGGCCTCGTGTGCTGCGGCGCCTGGGCCTGCGCCGGCCGCCCAGACCTTGGCTTCCCGGTCAAGTACTCTGCGCCGCGGCGATCCACCGCCGGCGGCGACTACGACAAGAAGAACTACGTCTGAGGGCGCCGTGCACGGGCGGTGGCCTGCGCAGGGCCGCACAGGCACAGGTTCCGCGCAGTGCCCGGACGCGGCCCACAAACTGCCCCTGCCCGGCCCGCAGCCTGTCCGCGCCCGTGCCCTGAACGGACGACACGCACGTGTGAGGACTGGTTTTCTCTTCTGTGCGTAGCGCTGGCTCCCATGTGGGTGCGGTTCGGGTTCCATCGGCCGCGAGGGCACAAGACTGAAGATGCTGCTTGCCTCCGACCGTCGGGGTCTTGGATGCTGCCTTCCTTCCCAGCGGCTGCTGCTGATTCCGGAGCGGCGTTGGAGAGCCCTGGGCCCGCAGCCTGGTCGGCCGGGTCCTGCCAAGGGATGTGCGCAGCAGCCTTTACTCCATCAATGGAGCCTGAGCCAGGGAGACCAAGAGACTTGGCGTGGACCACCTGCCTCACCCCAGCAGCTCCCCAGGGAGGCTTGTGGGCACCGAGCCTGAGCATGGGGCTGGAGCTCTGTCTTCCCAGCAGTTTGGAGGGAGGAAGAATCTGCTTAGTAAACGGTTTGAATACCCTCCCCCTTGTGTCCTGTCCTCTGTCATCACCTGTGCCCCAGGAGCCCTCACCCACCCATCCACCCACCAACTGCTCCCTGAAGGCTCCCTGGGCTGGCCACCTGGGGCCCAGAGTCCAATGGCCTTATCCTTGGCCCTCCCTGCCACCCTGTCACCTTCCTGCCTGCTACCAGGTGGCGGAAACAGGGCTTCCCACAGCCGCTTTGAGCCAGGATGAGATCTGCAGTCAAAAGAGCCACTGCTGAGTCTTGGGGCCAGGGGTCAGGCAGGGAAGGTGAGGCAGCCTCCCAGCAGAGGATGTGGTGGCCCATAGGGGGGCATCTCAGGAGGCAGGAGGTGCTGAGTGTTGGTAGCCAGACTTTGCCCAGGAGGGGCTGGGCCCCAGCATCACGTTTTCCACCTGCCCTCTTGGGGCTCATCTTTTTCTGGATCCCATAAAGTGGGCCACAGACAACACTGGATGAAGGCCTTTTCCGCTTAGGGTGGGGTGGACACAGGGGCAATTCCAGGACATGCAGGCTCAGCAGAGCTCAGTGGCAGGTTGACAACCGCGCTGCCATGGGGAGGAAGCACTGGCCGCCGGTTGCCCGGATAGTCCCTCGGCTTGGCTCCAGCTTGGTTGTCCTGGGATCCTCTGCCAGCTATGGCACAGCTCTGTGCAGGGCAGGCCTGTGCCCACCCTGCTGGCCTGGCACTAACCAAGCCTGGCCATCAGACCTCTGTGCCAGCCCCTGCTGGAGCACCTTGTGTAAGCACTGCCCACCCTGCTGGCCCCTGGAGCACTCTGGATCCTCCTCAACACTCACAGGTGCTCAGGGGCCAGCTGCTCCTGTGGGCAGCCAGCCCTGGTCCCGGCCAGGTACCTGGGGGTGTCCCAGGAGGGCAGGGCAGGCCAGAACTATCTTGAAGAATAGTTACTACGGCTTGCATTTTTACCTTTCCCCAAAAGGCTAGTGCAGGGATGCGGGCTGCCGAGGGAGCGCCAAGGCCAGCAGCAGGAAGGCTTGGCACCCGCCCCTGGCCCTGGCCAGCCTTGGGGCCCTGCCAAGAAATGCCTGGGCTGCATCCAGTGGCAGGGAGCCTCCCAGGCCTGGCCAGGCTCCTCGTGGTGGGGAAGGGCTCAGAGAGGTGGGAGCAGCCTCTGTGAATGCTGTGGCACATTCCTGCGAGTCAGTGAAGCCAGTGGGTGGACTGTCCACGGAGGCTGAACTTTCTGATGGCCTCGGTCCCTACAATGGGACACGCTGCAGTGATCAAGAACAGTCCCTGAGCCTGGGAAGGTATGACCCTGGAGCTGCAACCCTGCATCCCAGGTGCTCACACGGCTGCAGCTGGCCCCTGAGTTGGGACTGTGCTGGGACAGGGTGCTCGGCTGAGGAGCCAGGCCTGGAGGTCTTTCAGGTGGGGCTGCATCCCACATGAGCCCTTTCCAGGGGCACAGCCTATCCCTGCTCTCCTCAGGCCCCAGGCACAGCTCTGATTCCCAAGGGCAGCAGCACAGCCTCTAAGCTTTCCCAAGTGGCCAGGTGGGTGCCTTGAGGGCCCTGGGGAGCCAGGCTGCTGCCAGCCGGACCATGAAAGGAAGGGCCATGGAAAACCCCCACTGGTGGTTGGGGTACCACCAGAAATCGGGGAGAGGAGCTGGGTTCAACTCCACTGAGCCTGCTGCCCTTCTGAAGGGCCACACTGAAGCTCAGGTCTGGAGACAGATGAGACCTGGCCCCACCCACCTGTGTCCTCACGTCTAGCCATTCTTTCTGGGCTCTTCCCCACACCTGTGCCCACGCTCTCCCTGCCCACTTAAAGCCTAACACTGCCACCCCATGCAGCCCAGGGCCTCACTGGTGCTCTCCCTCCAGCCTGCCTGCTTCCCCCATTCAGGCGGCGGCCACCAAACCGCCTCAACCCAAACGAAGGCAGTGGGAATGGCACCTGCACCCTGAGGGAAAAGCCGCATCCTCCTCTCCTCTGGATCCTCCTCAACACTCATAGGTGCTCAGGGGCCAGCTGGCCCCAAGGCTCCTGACTGCGCAAGACCCCCTGCTCTGAAAATGATGAAGGTTGCTGAAGTCCCATCCAGCTCAAACCTTCTCTGAGGATGTGGGTGATGCTGACCTTGGGAGGTGGGGGGTACACAGTGCCTCCTGGACTGCCCGTGACCCTCCAACCAGCTGGGCTTATCCCAGCTCAAGGCCCTTGTTACTCCTCCCTAGCCCCCCTCATCCCGCTAAACTGTAGAGAAGCCAGTCCTGCCCACAGACTCGGGGGTGGGGGCACACAGTTATCCCAGGGGAACAGGAGGTGCTTGCAGACTGGGCTGCATGGTGGAGGAAGGCTGTGGGGTGGTCGGCTCAGGTCTTCTTGGGGGGGGGGGGCGGTGAAGAAGTGGAGGGACGGTGGGAGGACAGAGCTTGTCCTCGCTGGGCACCGCTAGGCAGTGGTGCTGAGGGCCTGGCCTCCGGAACTGCCCTCTGAGTAGTCTGAGGACAGGGTGGAGACTTGTTCTTGGGGCAGAGCAGGAGGGCCCGACCCCTGCCAGCTGGGAGATGCCTCAGGGCACAGGATCCCACCCCTCTGGGCCCACAGAGCCCAGGGCAAACCCGCACGCTGGCCCTGTGGCTGGGGCTGAGGTGGATGAGGACAACATAAAATAACATTTTATTCCATTAAAAACAGATTCTCCCTGTGTCTAAAACTATGTCCATAATTTACAGTCCAAATAAAAGCAGTGAACATAAATAAGGAGGAGGAGGTCATTTCTGAAGAAAGCAAACCCTGAAAAATAAAGGAAAAAAAAATTTCAAACAATTTTTTACATCTTACCCAATTAAACACACAAAGTGCCCAGCCCTGCCCTCTGACATGCTAGGCGGGTACCCCGGTCCTGAAGTGGCTGTGGAGTCGCCATGACCGCTCATGGGGGGTGAGGGGTGGGTGTCCTTGGGCAGAGTGCCACCCCAGGACCTCCCAAGATGCTGGGCCTCCCTGGAGGGCACCCTGCTCAGGCCCAGGCTCTTGCCCACTGGAGAACCCCAAATGTTTCGCAGCTCGGGGAAGCGTCTCCTTCTTACCTGCTGACCGGCCATCTGCTTGTCCCTCTGCATCCCTGCCCCAGGTGTGCCCTCACACCCCACTTGGGTCTGGATCGCTCACATACACTTGTCCTCTTGCCTGAAGCATCTCATTTTCCCTGTTCCCCTGCACACTGTTCCTCGTCCCACCTGGTCCCTAACTTGGTGGAACAACACCCAGCAGCACTTGCTGTATCACCGAGCAGGCTGCAGGGGCCGACTGGCCTCTGATGAAGCTCCGCTGCCTGAGAGCCTCCACTTGTAACCTTAGGTTTCGGCTGTAACCTTGAGAAGGCAATCAGCAGAACTTCCACCCCAGCCCCAAGGAGCAGTGACTGTCAGGCCCCAGGTGAAAGCTGGCCTGGACACTCCATGTCTACTCAGGGGGTTCACCTCATTTTCAGGAGAGGAAACAGGCTCAGACAGCTAAGCGCTGCCCAAGGCCACAGTGCTGATGAGCTGAGAGACCTCGCTGCAGACCCAAAGGTCTGACTCGGAGCCCCTCCCCTGACACCCTGCAGGTCGCTGAGGTCTCCATGCCCTTCTCAGAAGAGCCCACTCCAGCCTCAACCAGGGAATGGACACCTGGCCCCACAGCTTCTATCTCATCATGGGTGAGAGGCAGAGCAGGAGGACCCTGGGCCCGGCACGAGGGGACCCTGACATCAGTGCCACCCCACCTGAGAGTTGTCCGTCACTGTACCCTGGAGGTGTGACCACTGTGTGCAGGGACCTGGGCTGAGGGGTGGTCACACCAACACAGAGTGGAAGCTCTGGCTGCTTCCCGGGGGGAGGGGGACTTCCCAAGAAAGAGGGTACGTGCTGGGCATCCTGGATTGCAGCCCGACTGTCAGTGACTTGCAATGGAGTCTCTGGAAGTGCACGCTGGGGAGGCGACTTCAGAGCCGACTCTTGTAACCCTCAGCTGAGCCGCTTTCTCAACAGTGTACCACACAAAGGCCCAATATGCCTCTGTGGGCTCCAGTCCAGGCCTGGTGTGAAGGTTGCTGGTGGCAGGAAGGTTCCAGCGCCTCCTGCAGGTGACCATGAGGGAGAGGAGGGCTCACAGGTGGCCTCTACTCTCAGCAGCGCCAGGAAGTCTGCGTGTCTCACGCGTGAATACACCAATGCCCAGCCTCCATGGTGTGGCAGGAGAGGGTAAAATGCCAGCTCTTCCCAAAGGGATCACAGGAGCTTAATAAAAGTAGTTCCCTCAAAAATGCCCCATTGTGTCCGTGTCAGCCAGGGACAGACCGTCTTGGGAAAATCTCCTGGTGAGCCCCACTCTGGTCTGAGAGCTAAGTCAAAGCCTCACTTGAGGGAGGAGCAGAGGACAGGGAGTGGCCCTCTCAGCAGAGACAGCTCCGATGGGCAGGGCCACCTCTGAGGACC